TGCCATCTTTGTGCCCGAGACGAAGGGCAAGACAATTGAAGCCATTTTGGCGAATTTATAGTTAGTTGTGAATTGTTTTATTTATACATGTCTTACAATATTAAATATTATAGGCCTGTTACAAGATCAAGTGCACTTGTTCTAGTATACCTTCCATTGATACCAGACAAGTTACGTCTTTGTCGTAAATCTAGTCGGCCGTAACAGTCTGGCTAACTGTATGCCCGTTGGCCAACAGCTTAACCTTGAACTTACATTCTGTGTTTGTGTCTGTCTGCGACTTATAAACGCTCTCTTTGATTAGATTATAAAATTCATTCTGCAGATCCTATCTCTACAATCTGAGCACAGCCTCACGTGTTCTATACAGTGCAGGTGCAATAGAGATGAATGAACTTGTTCGTCAGTGAGAAAGAGGTATGATTGATAAGGATAGAGTAAGCGACTTAAGTTATGGAGAGATGAGAGGCAAAGCTTACAGAGAAACTATGAGAGAGAGAGAAAGAGAGAGAGGCAATAGCTGACAGAAGTAGATGTATCGAATACTAGAATGATAAGTATAGAGGAAACGAGAAATATACCGATAAAGAAGGAGAGAAAGAGAGAGATTATTTGGCTGTGTAATTTTCCAAGGGATTATGCGAAGCTTTTATCTCTTTAGACACGCACATCAATAAATTACTCTGCCTCAAAAGCCTTATCTGAGCAGACAAACACGCCTTCTTCTTTCATATATATGTAGGTGCACATGGTATGGAACACTTGGACTTGGACCAATATGGTGATTATCATTCCTTACTAAATTAATTATCAATTCCCATAACGTAATCATCAGGGATATTTGGTGATCGACATAGGCAACGAAGCACAGCTGCAACTGCTTATACAGTCGACTGGGCTGCCCGCCGATACAGTTCTATCAGAGTGACTCGCCTCTATGTAAGTTATTTGCTATTTCAAGTGCATATCACAACGGGAATACTACTAAACATATAATACAAAGAGAAAAACAACAATATGTATATATAAGTAAGTTCAGTTATGTTTGCTGAAAACGAACTTATAATTATCTTGTTGATTTATTCTCACTGTGGCTATGACTCTGTAATAAACCTGCCAGATATACTTTTTTGTCCAGTTAGCTGTTTCTGTCAATATTAGATATTTTATGAGTCTACTCGCATTTGTTGAGCAGCTCCGCCTCCTTTATTATATTTTTTTATACAAATAAAATTTTTTCTTTTATTATATTTATAAGAATCAATGCAAAACTCTCCATCATCTAGCCCTTGGAACAAGCTAGTTCCCATAATCCAATGAGATGAGTAGGGTAGAAAGTGATTTAAGGTATAATGACAGTAGTTGAGAAAACAGAGCGTATCGATAGTCGGGACTGTATGCAATTATAATATTTGTTTATTGTTGTACATATACTCTGACCCAGTTAATGGGAAAGCAGGGTATAATGGTTTTGTTGACATGTGTGTAACAGCAGGTATTAGACAGAGCCGTCCGTCCATCTACACGAGCAGATCGAGCATATTTAAAAAAAATTCACTGCTTTTCCCCTCTCTTCTGTAAAATTCACCTACATCTTTAGAACTATATACATTTATTAAATATGGATTAATTTGTATTTCATACAATTTCGGTTTGTCTTATATTTTGGATAACGGCTCCTGATCCCCCCCCGATCCGTCCAGCTCCACGCAGCTTTCAGGAGATTTCGTAGTCGACCAGTCTCACTTGTGTGGGCATTCTCGTAGTTTGAACTGAGGCTGAGAGCTGAGCGCGTTAGAGTTGAATGTTGCTGCTCACAGCCTCTACTCATTGTGTAACATCTATAAAATATATCATACAGCAACAGCGCTCGGTTAGTTCGGTTATAGAAAAAAATAAATAACCATGGGCAGTGTGAAACATCAATATCTAGCTGGAATATTTGGTTTGTTTCAGTGAAATCAATAAAATGAATTTGTAAAAGGAAAAAAACGTGAAATCTGTTAAGGTTCTTATGTGTGTCATAAAATCTTAAAACAAGGAAAAAAAAATCCTGACAAACAGGAGAGATTAAAAAGGCTTTTAAATTTAGCTTAACTCAATAAAAGGAAAACAAAAATGAAAAATAAATAAATAATATCTACACTAAGCAAACTTCAAATTATATGAAGTAAATATTCAATGGAAATTTATTATTTAGTAACATATTATTATTATTATTATTATTATTATTAGCTTAGCAGAGAAGAGAAAAGGATTCGTAATATTTGAAATGATAACGAGAAATCTTCAGTTAATATACAATTAAAAATAATACATAATACAATAAAAAAAAAAAATTAATAATAGAATATGATTTATATGAAATTGATTGAATTCCTATAATAACCTTATACCATATTCTTATATTAGCTGAGTTCAAGATGTTTTTATTCACTTACGAATTTTAGTAAATATTGCGACCATTTCCAATGGCGCATATATCGGCTGGACTTCGTCCAGTTTTCTGGAGCTAAACAACAGCCCGAGTCCCTTAGCGACGGGTCCACTTACAGAGCAGGATCAGGGAAATGTGGCATCGGCTTTCTGCCTTGGCGCTACAGTTGGTAATATATTCTTCGTATGGCTGGCCGACAAAATCGGTCGCAGGAGCTCAATGCTGTGGGTGGCTGTGCCCT